CAGCGTCGCTATTCTGCTCGGTATTCTATAATCTGCTCCAGGATAAAGGGTTTAAGGTCAAATCTGCAACAGCAGAATGTTAACTGGAATACATTCACTTTCATATGAATGTCAGAAGAGTCACAAGGTACCAAAAGCCACTAGACTGATCTTGAAGCCTTACAAAAGATATTACTGATAACAGCAGAGAAATAAACTTTCAGTACTCAGTCCATTTAGAAAATAAAAACACTGAGGGGATTTTATTTACCTAATACTTGTTTATCAGTGTGTAATTATTTTTATTAATTTAATTGTGAACAGTGGCAAATCTAACCTACACTGGTATTTTGCAGTTTCCTTCTTCTCATGTAATGGTATTCTTCACAGGCAGCACACTGGTAGAAAGGTGTATCAAAGAGTCTCAATATTATGGGGGCTTTTTAATGCATTTCTATGTTCAGTGTGTCAGATCATCATAAACGTCAAGGTACATAGTCTATAAAAGGACACATACACATTTATACATATATATGCAACCCACAGATATATTATGGTCAGAAAAAAGGTACAATAAGTGCTTCTAAACTTCCAGACTGCAGTATAAGAAACAGGTTGCTATATCAATAACTTTTTTAATATCTGTCAGTGAAGTAACCTCTCAGAACCAGTTATGGTTTTTCATCAAGTGTAACCATTCTCACATGTGGGTCATAATTTTGCCTGTGTAAAACTTTCCCTTTTTTCATCAAGAGTTATTGCATATCCAGGGTTTTCTTTTCAATTCAAGAAGTAAGCTTTTTCATCTTTACATGAAATGGCAAGTGACTCGAGGAATTTGCTAAGCTGAAAATTAAGCATATCAAATTTTTCCCCTGCATAATACCTATCCAGGCAGTTGTGACTGAGCAGAGTACAGACTATAAGTATCAGGATAAATAGCCATATTCCATTAAGGATTGACCAACACCTAAGTATGTACTCACTCGGGAAAAACATCTCTCTGGCTCCAAGTCCATTTCTACATTCTGCTCTGTACTTATTTGGAAAAGCCATTGATACCTATAGGAGTTCAGTTTAAAGATGTAGAGAAGAATCTTGATACATATTTTTGATGTTACAAAGACGAATGTATTGTGTGGTTTGTGTTGGTAGCCCATGCCTTCAGAAATGGTTCTTACTATGACACAAAACCACTTTGATCTGCAATTATACATTTTCTGATATAATCTGGAAAATGTATGCAATATTGACAAAGCTGTAAGGAAGCAAATTCTGAAAGCATAGCAGGAAAACAACACTCTTTTTATTTTTAAATGTATTCAATGCATTTCAGAAACAAGTACAATATAACTTATTTTACAAAGTTGACCATTCGAATATTAAAAAAGGACTTACTGGCTTTTGATAAATAGTTTAATATGGGACAGGCATGCTAATAGGAAAGTCAGTTTTGGATGACAGTCATTTAAGAGCGGAAAAGTGAGTTAAGAAGAAACTTCCTAGAAATGCTTCAAAAGGTGGCATGTCCTTTCACATCGCTTTATCTAAATGCAACTTCTTCATTGTTCTGCAACCTCCCCTCCCATATCCATTTTCTAAACTTTAACCCAATTTTACACATTAAAATATTTAGAAATACAAATAATATACCCAATAAAATACATTAATTATGATGAATGATAACGGGAAGGAAAATCTGGCATAGTTGTCTATGTGGTAAGGATTTTTAACATGGAAGCAATCAAAGATACAGAAAAGTCTTTTCATTATGGACATTGGTGAACTACAACCACTGTGTTTACTTCTCTCCCTTTTTCCATTGATACTGGTTTTGCTATTCTTGTTTGAATCGTTCTTGTTCGTATCATCAGGGGCACTGCAACTGTTAGCGACTTTTGCCAGGACTCCATTCTTCTCTTCTTCAGCCTCTTCATCCTCATCCTGATAGGAAACAAACCAGCAGGTACTTAAGTGCATGTTTCATTGCTTATTTACTTTAGAGCTGCAGCAAATAATAGCGTTTTTCTCCTGTAGCTCACTCCTTGATTTCAAGGGTGAGCACCTACATGTACCAGACAGCTCCTTTCAGCTTTCAAAGCCCCATTTACAGGAAAAACACTGACTTAAACATCTTAATGCAAAAGCTTTTGTACGACTCTCGAGCAAAGCTGGATTTTTTTCCAGTATGGCCCACTAAGCTTTACTTAAGACAGCAGCAAATCCACAAAATGCACAACAATAAGCTGTCTTCTGCTGAGGGAAACTACTGGCAAAGGTCAGTGTCTAGAACGTAGGCAAAGCAAAGCTCCAGTCTGGAGATGCAGGAGGTGGGGGAGCTGCCGGACCAGGTAGTCAGGATTGGTGCACCCCAAATCAAGCACCGCAGAATACAAGACACTTTCTTTTTCTGCCACTCCATTCCCAGTGCTTTGTGATGAAAATCAAATTATTTTTAAAACAAACAAACAAACAAACAGCACAAAAAAGAGGATCATGAAGAGGGACAAGCCCCACAACTAATTCAATACTAAATAGCTCATACTACTTTCTTTCAAGTCCTGAAACCCATGTTTTATATTCAAAGTTATGCTAAGGTTAAGCACATTTTTATGTGCTTCACTGCATCAAAGACAGCTCTTCAGAGAATGTTGTATAAGCCTTCTCGTGGGTTTTGTTTCTTTGATTAGAAATGGCTCGAAGCCATGAAGTTCATGTATGAAATCTTCACCGTTTGAAGTCAGTGGCTTTTCTGTTACTGACTCAGGGGACAGGATTAAGCATCAGCTGCAGCTTCAGCTCTAAACACAAACTTTCTTGAACGTTCTGGGGTATTTAGTTTGGGATATTGCAGAGATACCAGCAGATCCAAACTACAAAGAGTGGCTCCAACTTTTTATCCAAACTAAACCTAAATTCGTATAGTTGGAGGAGGGGTCATTTTAATTCAGGCAGGCATAAACATAATTTTAATTTTCTCCTGATTATTACCTTCCAAATCAATGAGTGGCATACAAGCAAGAAAGGGCTAAAAATTTGTGAAATGTAGAATGCAGAACCTTTTTCTTCTGACCAATTTGCTTCTTCCATTTGCATCACGAGAAGAACTAGATTAGGCAGGGACAAACTTTAGAAAAGCTAAGATGTACAGCCTTATGTGTAGCCACACAAAAAGCTCATTGAGAAATACCCCAGCTATTAAAGTCAAAGAAAGCTCATTAAGCCTCATAAGTGATCTCCATGCTGGTGCAGAATTGCTCTTCTGCCCACGGTACTTGTAGATGGCACAATTCTCAAGCCTTTCTTAATCTAAAATTAGTAACGTCCTTGAAAATTAAAGTGAAGTCTGGACAATGTCCTCAGACTGCCGTGAATCAGTGAAGCAGAACAGATGGAGCTAGAAAAAGGGATTATTACTGCTTCTAATTTTCAATTTCCCAGAAATATCCGTTATATTTTATTTGAGAGAGATAAACGTAGCTCAACACAACGTGTCATCCTAAAAATACACTGACTACAAAACCTTGCTCATCCTCCACCTAGCCTCCTGTGGCTATATGAGAATTTTTAAACCAAAGACCAGGATAAAAATCTGCCTATAAAACATTAAGAGGAATAATCCATAAAATTCCAGTCTGAACCTTAAACAATCCCCAGGGTAGTACTAAAACTCAAACCTGGAATTTTACTTGGGGCCTAATTCTGTTATAAATACCTAGCTCTTCTGCTCCAAAAAGTTCAGGCAGCTGAGGGAAGCACTGGGGATGGCAGAAGAGCCTTTGTCAGCTGCGCCTGGCACTCGAAACAAGGCACCAGAGCAACAGCCTAATGAATGCACTTGGCTCTTCAAAAGTTAAGAAAATAAAGAAACCTGTCAGAAGAGTCCTGACTTTTTTCGGCTGCTCTCATTTTTCAGAAAGGGAAAAAAGAACAAAACAACATCTATACTTCAAAACTGGCAGGATTTAGGGCATTACTCATTGTAAGAGTCTATTTGTCTCTTGGGTAGGGCTGGCTAAAAGTTGTACAGAATTAGTTTTACTGCAGAGCACGAAAGGACACTGCATACACACCATTTTTTTCACACAATTGCATATGTACAGTTCACAGGAGGCTGATGCTTTATTAGGCTGTTCTTAACTCCTTTCTACTCCCCAAGAGGCAGTTGCAGAAAATAACCGTACATGGTGCACATGTACTCGACTCTGTTTGCAGTGTTGCAATGCAGGGCTCTTGCCCAACAAAGAAGAGTCTATAGCAGAAGTGCTGTATCACGTTGCTTGAAAAGGAGAAAGCTAGGCTAGAGGAGAAACACGACTGCTAGTTTATAAAAAACTACAGTCTTATAAACTGAGACTATCAAGAGACTTTTCCAACTCACTATGGAGAAGTGAATGTGATGAAAGACTAAGCTGGTTTACATTATATTTAAAAAAAATGTGTTGCAAGTGTTCAACTGTGGCTTTAATTTTAAGTGCCACACCAAGTTTTCTCTGGATTCCAGCTGTCAATGAGAAAATGACAGCTGTCCTTAAGGGCTCTGTTCAGATACAAAATCAGTAGCATCCAGGGAAGGCACTGTAAATCATCTGAAAAGCACTGTAAAGGCACCTGCTACTGTTTATACTAACTGAAGGGTTTGCTGACATCTAATAGCTGACAGAATTGAGGAAAGTTGTCACTTCCTTTGAATAATAAAGATGCTCAAGATTAAAAATATTTCAACCTAGACCATTGCACCCCTAAAAGAGAAGAAACTCGGGATTTTGAAGAGGAAACCTCTCCATTTAGGCAGCTGATGTGAATGGCACATTTTGTCTGACCTTCCTTGCAGCAGGTGGTTCCTCTGCTTTTGCATTAGCTTTGAAGCTGTCTCTGTGGGTCCTGGATCGCATGATGTGAGACACCACAAGAGTGTGGATACGATGACCTCTTTCACCAGTTTATATTCTAAACGGGAAACCCCAAAGTCTTCAAAAGAACATGACATGTCAGTGCCCAACTGCTTTAAAGAGAAAACCAGAAAGAAAACCAGTACAACTAATTCCTATACAAGGCAGAGGGTTACATTTCCAATTCACCTCCTACATTTATTTACACAATTCTGAATGCAAATTTTGTATCAGCTCTCATGTGGGAATAACAAACTTGGAAGTGATATTTCTAATTAACCTGTGTCCACAAGAGAATATTATAATGAGGAGAACACACTTATGATAATGATAGTCACACAGAAATTTGTTAAGTACCTGCTAGACAATGACATGAGATTTTAGCTGCTGCTTCTGTCCTTGTGATGTCTGATTTTACAGTAAAAAATGAGAAGTACAAGTCAGGTGTGCTCTCCATGGCACCCTGGTTAGTAAGCAGTGCTTGTCCTTGGCTACAGTAGGAAAAGGACGTGACAGAGTCATGAGTTGGATGATCTAGGAACAATCCACTGTCCCTTCCCTTATGTGTGGGTGAAGAAGTGAGCCGGACCGGCTTGCTCACCCCTGGTGTGCAGCAAAAGGCAGGAATATGCCTGAAGTGACAGATCATCCCCTTCACTCACTAAATCCATCAGAAAACTGTACCCTAAGTCTTTCTTCGTTCCTTACGTTAGGGCTATACTTCCACTTACTCCATGTCTTCCAAGTACTTGAGTACCCACGTCTTCCCCATCTGCAAGCACTAGGACGTTCCCCAGTTGAAAGGGAATCTGACACAGGTAGGCAAAGGCAAGGGTATTCATAAGTGCCCTTCACAGATCCAAAGATGCTTAATCATCCAAGCACTGAAACACTCTTTTCTTACCCAAACTTCCAATAAGGTGGGGTTTTTTTTGGGTTTGGTTTTTTTTTTTTTTTGTGCTCTGTGAGCAAAATGACAACCACTTACTTCACAAGATAGATATGCTCAGAGGGAATTGTCACTAATACTACCTCGCCAAGAAAATTACTTTCAGGCTTTCTACTCAAATCCTCATTTGAAACGAGTGTTTGCCCATTTGCAGACATTCCCCCATTAGATGTTGTCTTTTAAAACCCACTGGGTGGCTCAGCTTTGTGTCCGATTTCAGTCCTCCTTTGCACACCTAGATCTAATGACAGCTTTGAACCCGTTCCTGTGCATTTACAGAACCTCTCTCTCATCCAAACAGCCAAAATCCCGTATTAATTGTTGAACCATATAGGCATTAAAAACCCACGTTCTTCATTGTTTTAAGCTTTTCCACCTGAATTCAATATCCTGTTTCCTGAGCCTACTGAGGAGTTTGCTTAGGCACTTGTGATACTCTGTTCTAGTTTGGCTTAAGTAGTTAACAATCTTTCTTCTTCTGGCCATTTATCCTTACAGCACTCAACCAAACTTCTTCCTGTTTTTGTTTGGTTTTTTTTTTTTCTGTTATTCTCACTTTCTATGTTTTACTTTTTCCTATTCATCTAGAAATTTCTTAAGCTGCTTAAAATTTTCTCGATCATGCATATTAGATTCAGTTCCATAATTAAAAGCTGCAAGACAATCAGCTTCCAACTGCCTTGTGATATTTCTCACTGCTTACAAAAGCAGTGGTAAACACTGGAAATGGAAGATGTGATAAAACTTCTTCATTAACCTGTCCTGATTATTTCAGCAAGATGACAACCACCAGACTCAAAAATGCCTGTGTTGATTTTATCCCTTTTTATTTTAAGTATATTTCACAATATTTCAGAGATATGAGAAGGTCATTAGAGCAGCAAAAAGTGCCGCTATAATAATGATGCAGAACAGAAACTGAATCCCAGTCTGAAATTCAGCTGCAGCTGTTGAAAGAGGTGTAAATGGAAGGTACTAGCGACCTGATACACCTAATATGTGAAACTGCTACTAGACTGAGTCAAGTACCATGCATGTGCAGAAGGTCTCATAAATGGAATGTGAAAAAAATTTTTTGCTTTATTGCAGTAAGATCAAGTCACCAATCTCAGTCTAGGTTTTGAACTGTAAGTAAGTGTATGCCATTGCTGGGGAGCTAACAAGTGCCTATGATTTTTGTGATACATCTAGCACACTGTTTGATAAATGGCCATAAAGTCCATGCCAAAAGAGAGAATCATGATGGAAGGATGTTTCAGTTTGTTTGATCTCTTCCAAAAAGTCCCAGGTTTCTTTTTCTCAGGGTTACTCTGTTTTCACTGTCCTTATTCTAAAATGGACACTTCTTTACCTGCATTTACCATTAGTGCTAAGATAATTCATTCCCTTTAGCAGGTACAATTAATTAGTCTGTTTTGTAGGGCAACAATATGAGAATTAAAATACCTTTGGAAGTTCCTTTGAACTGAGTCGATGAAGAGTGCAGAAATGAGCCACAGCATACTCTAACAGTGCTCCAAAGATGAAACTGAAGCAGATACCGAGGTACACATCAATTGCCTTGATAAAGCAATTAGCATTTGGGAGTGAAGTCCTGGCTCCCATCATCAGTGTGGTCATAGTAAGGACTGTGGTAACACCTGTGGAATGCAAAAATCTAGGTTCTGATAAAACATGGATAGCAACGAGGGCCTCTGCTGCAAGGGCCCTGCTACAAGACAGTCTTTCCTGGCTCTGTGAACTCCTAGTATGACACATCATTTAGTGGGTCATGTTTTGGAAAGATGACTTTCAAATGAACTTGTGATTCTAAAGTTAAATGCTTAAAAATACTCATAAACAATGTTTGTAAAGCTGAGAAGACTGGAAATTAAAATGAGAGTGATTCTGGTGTCATAGGATATATATTTATGATTAACACATTATTATTGCAATACTGTGCAAATGCTCCCTTTAAAACATTCAGATAATATTTTGCTCGGTGTGGTTGCCCACTGGCCTCATTCGATGTGAAATCTTTCTTTCTTCCCTATTCTGTAGGAATGTTTTTCCCACCCCACCTGCAGTCTGATCAGAACTGATTTGCATTCTTTCCCTTTCAGGATATCCTTTATATGAAATTAATTATATTTAATCTCTTATAATTCTCTTATTATTGATGTGTTAATTAGTATGTATCGGTAGACCTCACAAAAGCCTCATAATTCTGTCTAGGCATGCTATGTGTTTGGATATGTTGAAATTATTTCCAAAATGACTGAGTTTCTTCCTTTGCTTTCCTTTCCTTTGCTTTCAGCAGCCTCCCCTGCCTCCAAGTCTCCTGTAGCTCACAAAGACACTTTCTTAAAGAATAACAGAGCTTTAAGGGGAATCTGCATGATGTACTGTGGATGGCAAACCAGAAAAGTAGTTCCATGAAACTCAGAAACGTTTGCAACTTTTGGAAATGGATGCTATGTACATGCAATGAAGCACCTCAATGATCCAACTCTTGGGGTTTTTTTGTTTGGTCTTTTTTGTTTGTTTGGGTTTTTTTTGTTTTATTGCTTCTCACCTATGCAGATTCTGGCTGGAACTGACGACTGGCTTATCCAAAATGATACCCAGGAGAGCACAACCAGCAGAACTGATGGTACATAGGTCTCTAGTATGAAATATAAGATGTTTCTCTTGAGTTCAAAGTGAAACACTAGTTTAGGGTAACGTCCTGTAGAAAGAGCAGGAAAAAAAACTCACAAAGGTGCATTTCATGAAAAGTTCTTTAAATTATCAACATTTGTTAATATTGTGCATTACAATGCAGCAAAATCTTAACAAACAACCTTGAAAAAAATGAAACAACATGCTAAAAAATTCTATCATGAAGACTATAAATTGAACTGAAGAAAAAAATTGAAATATCTAACACCCAGTCATCATATCCGGAGTTTCCTTAAAGACAACTTAAATTAGAAATTCACTGCGGATTAGCGAAGGAAAAAATAAATCCATCAATGTGTGGAAAGGATGTTTCATTGTATAACACAATGCAAGGAAAATTGAAATCACATATGTATTTAGCTGTGGCTATTCATAAGAATTACCACAATGAGCTACTATATAAACTAGCATAATAACAATTGTAATTTTATGAAGTTAACATGGATCCTTATCTTTAGTTGCCTCAGATATCTGGTTTCTTTTGCTCTTCTTTTCATTTACTGTTGCACAAGATGTGGATCAAAGGTACCTTCTCCGATACTGCTGACCTACATCTTATATCCCACATAAAAACAAACAGTGTCTTTGCATTTCACTATCTGTCTTTTCTTTACCTTAGTGAATTACTGTGTTTGTGCTGTTCTGAGCAGTGTCACTGCTATGGCACAAAAGGGTTGCCTCTAAGTGAGTGATTTCCAGAAGGTGAAAGTTTGGGCCCACAGTCAAGACAGAATTTCGTTTCATTAGTGAACAGCACACTGGTAAGCAGAGCCTGAACTGGATATCCAGCTCACTAACAGCAAAATTTGGCTATGTGTGGGCAAGAGAAGTGCAGGATCTGAGATCATTACCTGTCCAACAGGTCAAAGTAAGGCAAAAGCTTGCTTTTTATTAACTTAAATGAGCAGAACAGACTTTTATTCTGGGACCCAAAGTTCAAAATTAAGTGTTAAAGTGTTTAAGATTTTAAAACATTATTTTAACAAAATTCTTGAACCAGCATATCAGTGAGAGAATAACGCTTGAATATACTGTGGGCAGATAGCTTTGGCTTCACGTATTTTAATCCAACAAATGGCGATCTTTGCAACCTCTGTTTGTTTCCAGTGCTGAGTGCTGTGAGTCAGGACAGAACTACAGAACGGTGAATGCACTTTAGCAGCAACGATATACGCATAGACAGGCTATGTGTGCATCCTTCAGGTGTGCTGTGAGACATGGAGTAAAAGAAGAGTACTTTTAAAATCTTGAAGTGCAAGTAATAGATGCCAAGAAATGTCTTCCTGCTCCCAGGCTAGAAAAGGAATGGTTAAATTTCCATTTTTAAAAGTATTGTACAAATTGCATCCAGAGAACAAAAAGGTTTTATAGAACTCTCAAAATCAGAAAGAATCACTAGATTATGTAGTCTGATGCTAATCAGAAATCATTAAGTTTCCCCAATTATCCCTTGCTTTGAACTCAAGTCACTTTGATTGGAATAGAATCCACCTTTCACACAGATATCTAGACTTAATCTGAGGATATCTAGATATGCAGCATTCACCATTTCTCTCCATAACCTGCTACGATGATTAAAGTCATTCTGTCTGTTAGAAAGGTATGCCTCATTTCTAATCTTAACCTGATTTCAGCTTTCTGCTGTGTTGACTCTGCCTGTTCACTAATAGACTAAATAGTCCTTCAGTAGTCAGCTCTTTCTCCTCCTGAAGGTACAAATACACCGTATTTAGGATTCTTCTCTGTAAGTTCAACATACTAAGTTCTTGAAGTTTCTGACTGGTAGAGAAAAGGATACAAAGATGAACAGTAAACTTTAACTCTCTCCATGCGGCGGGAGATAAAAGATGATTTGTACTGTTATAATCATTTTTATGTGAAAAGAGAAACATTACCATACTGTACCTCTATCAATACTGTGATTTTTACCAATACAGGTATTTCAGTAAAAGTCATTTTGCCCACCAAATTGATTTTAAGTGTAAGCAGACTAAACTAAAGCACTCAAAAGTGAGGAAGTACAAAATTCACATTTGACTGTGCAGCAATACTTCTGCTTCTGTCTGCACTCATCCTCATACTAAATCAAGCTCCTGGGCTATCGAAAAGCACTCAGTCTGGACAATGAGAGACTATAGCATAGAGCGCATTTAGGGAAAAATAACTGGAATTGTACAGGCAATTGTAAATCTGTGGCTTCCCAGTGTGCAAGAGCAAACATTTAAAACCTTAATAAAAACTCTTAGAGATTGCACCATCCAGCTGAGTGGTGCAGTTGATACAATAGAGGGAAGGGATGCCATCCAGAGGGACCTGGACAGGCTGGAGAAGTGGGCTCACGAGAACCTAATGAGGTTCAACAAGGCCAAGTGCAAGGTGTTACACTTGGGCCGGGGCAATCCCAGGTACTTGTATAGACTGGGAGAAGAACTCCTTGAGAGCAGCCCTGCGGAGAAGGGCTTGGGGTCCTGGTGGACGAGAAGCTGGACATGAGCCCGCAGTGTGCACTTGCAGCCCGCAAAGCCAACTGTGTCCTGGGCTGCATTAAAAAAGGGGTGGCCAGCAGGGAGAGGGAGGTGATTCTCCCCCTCTACTCTGCTCTTGTGAGGCCCCATCTGGAGTACTGTGTCCAGGCCTGGTGTCCCCAGCACATGAAAGACATGGAGCTCTTGGAACGGGTCCAGAGGAGGGCCACGAGGATGATCAGAGGGCTGGAGCACCTCTCCTATGAGGAAAGGGTGAGGGAACTGGGCTTGTTCAGCTTGGAGAAGAGAAGGTTCCGGGGAAACCTCATTGCGGCCTTCCAGTACTTGAAGGGAGCCTATGAACAGGAGGGGGAGCGACTGTTTACAGGGGCTGATAGTGACAGGATGAGGGGGAATGGTATTAAACTAAGAGAGGGGAGATTTAGGTTGGATATTAGGCAGAAATTTTTCACACAGAAGTTGGTGAGACACTGGAACAGGTTGCCCAGAGAAGTTGTGGATGCCCCATCCCTGGAGGCGTTCAAGGCCAGGCTGGATGGGGCCCTGGGCAGCCTGCTCTAGTGGTTGGCAACCCTGCCCACAGGTTGGGGGTTGAAACTAGGTGATCTTTAAGGTCCTTTTCAACCCAGGCTGTTCTATGATTCTATGATTCTATGATTTTCTTAATTATGCTTGCAATCTTCTAGGCGCTATTTAATTAGAACTCAAAATGGATACTTTTAAATAGAAAGACAAGGCTTTCTCTGCAATGCTTGTACCCTAAACTGTCATTACTGTGGCACAGTTGCAGCTAGCACACAAAGGACAATGGCATGACCACTGTGAGTGAGGGGAGGATGTCAATCCACAGCTCATGTGAGGGTGTAGAAGGTGCAAACCATCAGCAGGAGACTGAATCCTCCACAAAAGTTGTTTGTTTTGTGTTTCTGTGCTGAACAAAGGGAAGGATGTGGTGCCATGTACCCAACAAAGGGGAGAGACTGGACTGTGCTTCCTGCAGGGTACCACAGGCACTTGGGAGTTCCCTCTAAAGAAGGAAAACTCTGAAATAGCCAATACATAACAGACATGCAACAACACCATCTCCTCGTTAGCACCCTACAACTGTATCTCTGTTCACCTTAGTATAAAAGCCAAGTGTGTACATAGGAAGTTAGTTCAAAATATCAAAATTGAAAGCCACACTTTGCCACTTTGCTGCAATTTCCAAGTGTAGACCAGCCCTTTGAATGTTCCTGTGTTCTTCCGTGTTATTTTTCCTGATGCCAGAAATTTCTAAAGCAATGTGAACAACAAAAATAAATAGCGATGTAACAGCTTATAGCTGAGTGGCTTTTTGGGGAACAAAGAAAAGACATTTCTCTAACCTTAAGGCTTTTGGCTTGCCAGAATCCAAAGAAGCATCATGGACATGATAATAACAGTGTCAGCATTTCTCTAAAGAGTTCAGAACAGCTTTTATAATGGAAATTTTGAAGTAACCTATATATAGAATTCATATGAGCTCCTCCTGTAATAAACTGAAGGAAGAAGTAGCAAAGAAAAATTATACAATGCATACTTATCATGCTAAAGAAGTGAGCAACGGGACAAAATGAAGACAGGGAAATATTACAGTCCTTTTCTCTTTTCTACTCCTCATGTACCAAAAGTTATCATCTTTAACAAAAAACAGATTTGCTATCCCTCTTACATGGGTTTCATACGAGACAGTAATGATGCATTTGCCTTTGACTTGCACCTCTGAGGCTACAGTGCCATCAGTCAGATCAAAAGTGAAACTGGTTCCTGTAATCCTAGTCCTGGCTTTACTAGAGTTAAGTCAAGTACAGCTCAAGTTAACAGTTCAAAGCAGTCAAGTTTGCCTCTTGCTTGAGTCCTCTGACAACAAAATACTTGCATTAAAAGATGCTTTTTCATTCAAGTTTCTGGCCCATGGTGGATGTCACCTCAGTGACTTAAATTTGATAATGTGATAGAAATAATCTCTGTGCAGACAGCTAACTCTGCAACAAAGGCACAATGTTAGTGTTTAGGAAAACATTGAGTTACTGTGTTTAAGAGTATCTCAGATTAATCTGAATCTAAATGGCTGTCAGTATACATACTCTAAACCCACCGGAAGGTGAGGTATTCTACTTAGGTCACCCCACAGCAAAAGGAAATTAAGCTGAGTTACTTGGGCTTTACAGAATTTACTAGAGGGTGGAAGTACAAAACCAGACAGTGGCTCTAGCTTATAGATGAAGAACAAATCTAGATAGCAGACTATAGTCTCCATATCTACTCTAACACTCTCTACAGCTTTAAAAAAAAAAAAATAATCAAATTTCACTTGGTTCCAGCTGACTACTTTTGTTTCAGTACCATAAAAATTATACCAGCATAGAGTCTTTCCCAGTAGGTGAGCAGGGGCAGGTCAAGGTCTAAGGCAGATCTTTCTGAAAGCAAGAAAACCTAGTTTATTCCTCTTTATAACTTGCCTTTGAACTTTGGCTTTTGGCTTCTAAGAACAATATTG